ATTTAGTATTCACTATGGCACTGGACAACTTGTTGGTATGATGGGAAAAGACACACTGCAGGTAAGAGGTTTTGTCATAAGTAAGATAAGATGTATAACTTTGCTTCAATTATATTTGAACCCTTACCTTTTAAAACAACCCATTCATTTTAAAACTGAAATGATATATACAGTTGTGTTCAAAATAATAGCAGTCAGACATCACTAACCTGATCAATCACTGTTTTTGGTAGAAATGATATTTCTACATGGCAAATCATTTACTAGCAGGTGTAGTAGAGTAATAGAAATCCAGCAGACCCAACAGTCATGACATGCATGCTGCTGATTCTGTGTAATTGAATCACTAATTGAAAGGGGCATGTTCAAAATAATAGTAGTGTGGAATTCTATTAGTGAGGTCATTCATTCTTTGAAAAACAGGTGGCAATTATTGCCCTTATTTAAGGAAGGAAGGCAGCAAATGTTGTACATGCTGGTTACAGTGCATTTCTCTCTGAAATTCTGAGGAAAATGGGTTGTTCCAGACATTGTTCAGAAGAACAGCGTACCTTGATTAAAAAGTTGATTGAAGAGGGAAAAAACATATAAAGAAGTGCAGAAAATGATAGGCTGCTCAGCTAAAATGATCGCAAATGCTCTAAAATGGCAACCAAAACCTGAAAGACGTGGAAGAAAGCGAAAAACTACCATTCGAATGGATAGAAGAATAGCCAAAATGGCAAGGACTCAGCCAACAATCAGCTCCAGGAAGATCAAAGAAGGTCTAAAGTTACCTGTGAGTACTGTTACAATTAGAAGACGCCTATGTGAAGCCAAGCTATCTGAAAGAAGCCCCCGCAAAGTCCCACTGTTGAAAAAAAGGCGTGTGCTGAAGAGGTTACAATTTGCCAAAGAGCACATTGACTGGCCTAAAGAGAAATGGCGCAACATTTTGTGACTGATGAAAGTAAGATTGTTCTTTTTGGGTCTAGTGGCCGGAGACAGTTTGTCAGACGACCCCCAAACACTGAATTCAAGCCACAGTACACTGTGAAGACAGTGAAGCATGGTTGCGCAAGCATCATGATATGGGGATGTTTCTCATACTACGGTGTTGGGCCTATTTATCGCATACCAGGGATCATGGATCAGTTTGAATATATCAAAATACTTGAAGAGGTCATGCTGCCTTATGCTGAAGAGGAAATGCCCTTGAAATGGGTGTTCCAACAAGACAACGACCCCAAACACACCAGTAAACGTGCAACATCTTGGTTCCAGACCAACAAGATTGACGTTATGGAGTGGCCAGCCCAATCCCCGGATCTTAATCCAATAGAAAACTTGTGGGGTGACATCAAAAATGCAGTTTCTGAGGCAAAACCAAGAAATAGAGAAGAACTGTGGAATGTAGTCCAATCATCCTGGGCTGGAATACCTGTTCACAGGTGCCAGAAGTTGGTTGACTCCATGCAACACAGATGTACAGCAGTTCTCAGAAACAGTGCTTATACAACTAAATATTCATTAAGTGATTCAAAGGAAAGCAAAATCTTCAAACATTTTTCAGTTTATATGGTGAATGTTTGAGTTTGTAAAGAAGAATACAAACACCGCTATTTTTTTGAACAGTCTAATATTCACTTTTCTTCAAATTTTTTTTAGAGGAACAACACAAATTTGATATATTTTTCTTCATGTTTTGATTTGGAATAGAATGTGTAGTGTTCCCAATGCATTTGTGTGTATGGAAATAAAAGCTATTAGAAGGATTTTGAGCTTTATTTGCTTTTTTCAACACACTGCTATTATTTTGAACATATATATATATATATAAAATAATAGCAGTGTTGTAGTGTGTTGAAAAATAGTGTGTTGAAAAAAGCGAATGCTGTTCAATGGCAAATGCCAATTGAGCTCTATGGTGCAGTGAGCACAGGGCCCACTAGAGGATGTCGGGCCCTCAGGCCACCCTTATGAAGTCTGTTTCTGATTGTTTGGTCAGAGACATTCACTCCAGTGGCCTGCTGGAGGTAATTTTGCAGGGCTCTGGCAGAGCTCATCCTGTTCCTCCTTGCACAAAGGAGCAGATATCAGTCCTGCTGATGGGTTAAGGACATTCTATGACCCTGTCCAGCTCTCCTAGAGTACCTTCCTGTCTCCTGGACTCTCCTCCATGCTCTTGAGACTGTGCTGAGTTACACAGCAATCCTTCTGGCAGTGGCACGTATTGATATGTCATCTTGGAGGAGTTGGACTGCCTGTGCAACCTCTGTAGGGTCCAGGTATTGCCTCATGCTACCAGTAGTGACACTGGCCCCAGCCAGCTGCAAAAACTAGTGAAAAACAGTCAGAAAAGATGAGTAGGGAAAGAAATGCCAGTGGCCTCCATCTCTAAACACAATTCCTGTCTTGGGGGTTGTCTCACTGATGCCCATTTAGTGCACCTGTTGTTAATTTCATTAACACCAAAGCAGCTGAAACTGATTAACAACCCCCTTTGCTACTTAACTGACCAGATCAATAGCCCAGAAGTTTAAAGGACTTGATGCTATATGTTGATTAAAAAGTGTTCTTTCATTTTTTTGAGCAGTGTGTATATATATATACCCACAGAGATGATTGGAGTCATTCTGGTCTCCAATCAGCTCTATTGTCAGCCAGTTCAATCGCCAGCTGCATTATTGGGTTCCTCGGAGAAAGCTGCGGAATGTGTCGGGGGGCGTCTCTTCCAGCTTGTAAAAGCGATCCAGCGGCTAACTAGCTGTTAGAATTGCTTTTACATGAAAGCCGACTGCCATCTGAAAAATACTATACAAAGATGATGCAGACATCACCCTGGTATAGCCACTCAAAGTCTAGCAATGTAGACAGTATGTTGCTGGTCCTTGTTGGGCATATACAGTATGTAATGTTCTCATTTTTCATAGTGTCTTATCACTGAAATGCATGAAGCGCACTATTGTCTAATATCTATGCCTGGCCATGGCAGCAGAGAACATGGGCATATGATGAATCGGGTCTGTGGACCAATATGACCGTAACTCATTCTTTTTTGTAATGCCCATGTTGATGGTTAGCCCAAAAAAAGTTTTAAATTCAGAAACTGTGATAGGTTTCCATGCGAATTGTCTGCAAGACCTGCATTTGGGTGGGTCGTATTGTTGTGCGCATAAATTGCTTTGGCCCACAATCAACTGATACAAATCTTCTGTGAAAAATAGGGAGGGGCTAAGCGCTAATGCTGGCAGCGAGCAGGGCTGATCCTGCTAAGACACTATACAAAGGAGGCAATAGTACAGTTCTGTTCATGATCAATATATTGATCTGTACAAACACTATACTAGTAATGGCGGTGATCAGTGAGTGACAGTGTGTGGGCAATCTAACACTAGCTGACCCTGGCTAAGAGGGGCGCTAACTGACCCTGAAGCTATTTGATGTCGCCAGTGGTGGTAACACAGTGATCATTGAAAAAATCTATATACTGCACTAATGGCACTGGCTGGGTGACAGGGTGATCAAAGGGCTTATTAGGGGTGATCAAAGGGTTAAATGTGCTTATCTAACATGTGTGTGTATGTGTAAAATGTGCTGGTTTTACTAAGTGTTGTGTTCTCTCTTTTCTCCCTGAACCGACAGGAGGGGCAGAGAGGGGGAGGGGGGGGATTGGGGTGTACATGCTCATACCCAGTAATAGATCAGGACGTAAGAGTATGCAGCTTTCCCCAGAGCAGCTGCTCGCCCACACATTGTGAGTTGGTGGTAGGTAAGTAGTTAAAAAGAAACCTTTAAAAAAATTCTCAATATTTTAACTTTTTTAACATTGTTATTTTTTTTTTTTACTGTTTAAAAAAAGAAAATATTTGCCTACAGCTACATGGTACAGGGTGGTGTGAGTGGCCCATGTACCATGTGAAAGCTGTGGGCCAATCACAGCTCACTAGGACGGGAAGCAAAACTGGTATGAATCAGATTGATTCATAACAGCTTTGTTGACAATTTGATCATGTGATCTCATAGCATGATCACTGGGTCCTGATTACCGGGAACTGCAGTCCACTGTGTCGCGTGGGGGGGAGCCCCCTGTGTTAGTACAGCCAGAGCGACTTACCAATATGTCGCTTTGCCTGTAAATGCCGCCCGTCAGGTAGTACAAGTACTGTGCGACGTCGGCAAGTGGTTACCTAGAAAAAAAAAAGTTCATTTGGACAGATCAATCATTTGAAAGATCTTTTTTCTGATATGCACATTAACCATTCCAAGCATGTAAGGTATGTTGTGTAAATACCTTGAATACATGGCTCCATCTGACCTCAGTTCATGCGGTACAGAACAAGGGTCACATCAGCTCAAACTATTTGATTGTGTAACAGTATGAAGCTAATGTAGAAATCTCACCCCTGAATTGAATTAGTAAGCAATAGTAATCAATAATTTCTTTGATTCATTAGTAGATGAAACTAGTTGTCAGGAAAAACTTTTCTACCTTTGGTCTAGTTTTTGTAACTCTGCCCTACGTCAGCTTCCCATTAAAGTCTTCCTACATAATCAGAGTGCTATATTTTATGTGATGCTGCTAACAGGGTATGGCTATTAATATTCATTTATTTTGATGAATGTTATAGTACATTGGATATCCAATTGTGTATATATGAATATTTACATCAGAATTATAATCATTTTATTACAAATTGTGTTACATAACCATGGAATTAAAAAGAAAACTGTCAAACAACAGAATTGTGGGAGAGATGGTAAAACTTGCTAAAATTCATTGTTCCTAGATTCAGGGTGTAGGTGTCTTTCTTTTTGATGATTCATTTTATTTCACATCAAAAGATCTTCTTTTTTTCCAATACAGATCAGCAACATGACCATAGTGGGGCAGGACTTTGGTCAATCAATAAGTGAACCTGGAAAAAAAAACGTTTGTTTTGGCAAAGTTTGATGGGGTGTTGGGCCTTGGATATCCGTCACTTGCTGTTGCTAATGCATCACCAGTATTTGACCAGATAATGAAGAAGAATTTATTGAATAAGTCAATGTTTTCTATTCATTTAAATAGGTTAGTTGGCATTTAAAACATGTTAAACATTTTGAGATGATAGAGAGTGTGTTTGTTTAATTATTATATTTGTACTTTTTTCAGAGATGACGATCAGTATGGGGGAGAGCTGTTATTAGGGGGGATAGATAACTCCCTTTACAAAGGTCCAATTGACTGGATTCCTGTCACAAAAAAGGGTTATTGGCAAATAAGGCTTGCAAAGTAAGTATTTTACAATTACTAAGTGGTAATTTCAGAACTATCAGTTTACGTACTTTACAGTACATAAGAGTACATAACTGGGATCTAGATTATGCAAGTCAAGATCAGGCATCAAGGTGGGCAAATATGCTGTAGCTGAAAGTCAACGTGGTTTGACATGTCAATTTTAAACCATAATAATATAGTTACATAGTTAGTCTGGCTGGAAAAAGACAAGTTTATCCAGTTGAACCATATAAAAAAAAAAAGTTATAATCCTGTACCCACAGTTGATCCAGAGGAAGTGAAAAAAAAACCCAGCAAAGCATGATCCAATTTGCACCTGCTGGGAAAAACATTCCTTTCTGATCCCCCGAGAGGCAATCGGATCAACTTTACCTATAAATGTTAGTATCCAGTTATATTCTGTGTATCTAAGAAATAATCCAGAAATAATCCAGGCCTTTTTTGAAGCAATCCACTGAGCTGGCCAGAACCAACTCTTGAAGGAGTCTATTCCACATTTTCACAGCTCTCACTGTGAAGAAACCTTTCCGTGTTTGGAGATTAAATTTCTTTTCCTCCAGACTAAAGAGTCCTGAAATAATACTGGGAATATTGATGCATTTATCCCTTTACTACATTTTATGTCTGCAAGTACTTGATTGCATTTAAAGGTATATTAAAACAAAAAAAATGTGTATTTGGCAGTTTACCCATTCTTACACATGGTGGTTACATTATTTTTTTTTCTTTTAAGCTTTTTTTCCCCATTTTACCCACTTGTGACCCTGCCAGTAACGCATTTCCTGTCCTAGAGAAAATACTTGCTGTACTGTATCTATGCAGAAGCAGTGTTTTTCACCCTAGGCTGCATGCTAGTGATTTGGACTACAGAACACCTTCATCTTTCCTCCAAAAATATAGAGGTGAAGTGTTCTGCAATTTAGATTTCAGTTCAACAGAGGAGGCAGCGTGCACAGAAAATTCCAAACTCATGCAGCATCATCAGGTATATTTTTTGCACTTATTAAATAGATATAACAAAATGTGTATTTAGCAGAGCAAATGGTAGCAAATAAATGTTCATTGTTGGGGTATGCTTCTATTTTGTGTATTTAGCAGAGCAAAGAGGAGATGTTCATTGTTAGGGTTTACACACTTTAAGGTTTATAGTACAAATGATAAGATCTTGTACATTCATGTTTATCAAAATGTAAATTAAGCAAGATACAGATGGAGGCAAGGGAAGATAAAACCTGGTTATCCTTTGGTTTTCATAGAGCCCCTTCTAACTAGGTTTATGAGGTCCTTTCCTTACACAGAACCTATGGAATTAAAACCTGTAACTCCTTCAGTGTACATAAGGAGTCCCCAATAAAGATAAAGACAATCTTAGCGCAGAAAGAGTTCATTGTTGCAGAGAAAAAATGTGCTGAATTTTAAGAATAAAAATGACCAAAGCTCTATTGCAGAACTAAGTGCACTCCTATAACCCAGATTCAGGCTCTGCAGGGATCCCGACAATATTGTTAGGATGCTCCCAGATGCCTGACTGTCAGCGAGCTCAGCCTCTCAGCTCATTGCTGAGGGCCTGAGTCATTTGCTCCAGCCCTCTCCACAGTCTGGTGCTCCATCAGGTGCTAGAGATGCACAACACAGTGCGGTGTCTGACAGTCAGAGTGGACCTGAGAACTGAGCAATCAGTCGTCTTTCATCATTCAGTTCTTGGCGTTGAGCTGGCAGGGGACAGCTGCAGCATCAGATTGTCGCTGCCGTCATCTAGGGAAGTATGAATGTTTTTTTTTTTAAATTCCTGTGCTTCTTTTATACATCCCACTATGTAGTTATTTCACCATATATCATTACTGTTCAGATTGCACGCTAGCCCCTTACAAAACAACACACATATACATTGGTTCCACATATGCATGCGGGTAGGTGCAGCGTGATGTGGCGGGCAGAAAACACACAGGGGTTTATTTACTAAAGCTGGAGAGTGCAAAATCAGACTCCCTTCTGCATAGAAACCAATCAGCTTCTAACCTCAGCTTGTTCAATGAAGCTTTGGCAATGAAACCTGGAAGCTGTTTGGTTTCTATGCAGAAGGGAGTCTGATTTTGCACTCTCCAGCTTTAGTAAATAAACCCCTGTGGGGTTTATTTACTAAAGCTGGAGAGTCCAAAATCAGACTCCCTTCTGCAGAGAAACCAATCAGCGTCTAACCTCAGCTTGTTCAATGAAGCTTTGGCAATGAAACCTGGAAGCTGATTGGTTTCTATGCAGAAGTGAGTCTGATTTTGCACTCTCCAGCTTTAGTAAATAAACCCCACAGAGTCCACATGCAGTAACATGGGGCTAAATGGTAGCACTTCCACCTGGCAGTATTAGGGTCGTTGGTTTGAATCCCAGCCTTGGCACCTCCTGCCTGGAGTTTGCATGTTCTCCCTGTGCCTGCGTGGGTTACTCCGGTTTCCTCCCACACTCCAAAAGACATGCTGGTAGGTGAATTAGCTCCTGTCTAAATTGGCCCTAGTATTTGTATGTATGAATGTGTGTTAGGGACCTTAGATTGTATGCCCCTTGAGGGTAAGGGACTGATGTGAATGTACAATATATATATGTAAAAGCTCTGCATAAACTAACAGCGCTATATAAGTACCTGAAATAAATATATTGTAATAGAAGTCCAGTAACACACAAATGGCCCAGCAGGAAGGCAACCCGACCGGGAACACTCACAGGTTATGGCAGCGATGCAATAGTGGATATAAGACTCAGAGGTGCCAACAGCGTCTGTTTCAAGGTGCAGAATGTAGCCTGGTCAGGTGGTGTGTCCCTGCTTTTTAGCTATTCCTCTGAAACCTTTCCCTGACGCTAAACTCTGTCCCTGACAAACGGGTATCCTGTCTCTAATTTGCCACTCACAAAAATGGGCACCAAACCCAGGAGCCAGGGTCTAAAATAAACTCTTTAAATGTAAACCGTCTACAAATAAATCTCTGAATACAGATATACTTGTGCAATATGAGCAAACAAAAATCAGCAATCAGCTAAAATCTACTTGTGCAATATGAGCATGAAATCAATATTCATACCAAATAAATAATTTTCAGAAGTAAAACAAAGTCCATATATAATCCAGACTCCACTTAAAGTGTTACTAAACCCACAACAGTAAAATCAGTGTGTATATGCAGTAAAGCAGTCTTAATATACTCACTGTGGAACCTAAGGGGTTAATCCTCTGCATTGAGTAAAAAGGCTGTTTGATCCTTCCTTCTCTGCCCCTCCTCTTGTTGAAATGGCAACCTGATACAGACTGAACCCGTGGTCACATGCACATGCTCAGTTTGGTGTGTATTGCTAGAGAGGTTTTTTTTTTTTTCTTTGAGAGGGTGCATGTGATCAGCACAGGGCAAATCAGCACTGTCCAGACAGAGGGTAAGGGGTTTCACATCCTCCTAGAGCAGAAAGAAAACTCCCCCTACAAGCTTTAACCAGCGCTCTGCTGAAGTCACAAGGCTGCTCTAACTGCTGATGAGAAAAGGTATTTAGCAGTTTATATTTACTAAAATAATTGCATTTCCATGTTCGGTGTACTGTGGGAGACCAGATATAGTGAATGCAGGGTCCGGGGTTTAGTAACACTTTAATGACCAGGTGCCTAAAAGTGCTCGGTGATGAATGAAAATATTAAAGTGCTTCAATATACCAAGGCGCTTCCCCACATCCAAGCCTCTTACCAGATGGACATGATCTCACAATAAAAGAGATTAAGCATGCTTTTTCAATCCACAGAAACCAATGTTTCCACTGTGTACATGCCAGGTGGGTCTGTGACCCCATCAGCATATTGCAGCAAAGGTGTCCCCACAGAGGAATCACTTCAGCCACCCTCAGACTCCAACCACTACACAGTTCATATCAAGGAACATTTAAAACCAGAAAAAAAGGAAAAGCTTCATAATCCAGCATCATTAAAAATCATTTGAGATAGCTATTGCAATTACAGTTTATGAGATGTAACAAGCAGTGTACAGATTCACAAAGCACGCCCGCAGGACACGCCAAAGCACCAGTGTGTGTTGACGTCACCAATCCAGCTCCATTATTTGTTTAAGTTCAACATATTTAAAGGGCTTGCGTGCCTCTATTGTACATTTTTAATTTGGTCCGGTTTTCAGGATTTCTTTGGTGCATCAGCTTTTTGATGTAGTTATACTAAGCACAGGTATTACAGTTGCAAGAAAAAGTATGTGAACCCCTTGGGATTACGTGGAGTTTTGCATGAATTGGGCATAAAATGTGCTCTGAACATCATCTAAGTCACAACAATAGAAGAACACAGTCTGCTGAACATAATACTACACAAACGTTAGATGTTGCCATGGTTTAATTGCACATAACATGTAAACATTCACAGTGCAGGGAGGAAAAAGTATGTGAGGCCCTAGCTTAATGACTTCTCCCAGAGCTAATTGGAGCCAGGAGTGAGCCAACCTTGACTCCAATCAGTGTGATGATATTGGATGTGTTGCTGACAGCTGTCCTGCCCTTAAAAAACACAGACCAGTTTTAGGTTTACTGGTTTCAAGAAGCACTGTTTGATGTGAACCATGCCTCGCAGAAAAGAGCTCTCAGAAGACCTACGATCAAGAATTGTTGACTTGCATGAAGCTGGAAAGGGTTACAAAAGTATCTCCAAAAGCCTTGATGTTCATGTGTCCACAGTAAGACAGACTGTCTACAAATGGAGAAAGTTTAGCACTGTTGCTACTCTCCCTAGGCGTGGTCGTTCTGTAAAAATGACTGCAAGAGCACAGCGCAGAATGCTGCATGAGGTAAAGAAGAATCCCAGAGTGTCAGCTAAAGACCTACAGAAATCTCTGGCACATGCTAACATTTTTGTTGACACATCTACAATAAGGAAAACATTAAATAAGAATGGAGTACATGGGAAGACACCACAGAGGAAGCCATTGCTGTCCAAAAAGAATATTGCAGCACGTTTGAAGTTTGCAAAAGAGCACCTGGATGTTCCACAGCACTACTGGCAAAATATACTGTGGACAGATGAAACCAAGATTGAGTTGTTTGGGAAGAACACACAAACACTATGTGTGGAGAAAAAAAGGCACAGCACACCAACATCAAAACCTCATCCCCACTGTAAAACATGGCGGAGGGAGCATCATGGTTTGGGGCTGCTTTGCTGCCTCAGGGCCTGGACGGATTGTTGTCATTGATGGGAAAATGAATTCCAGAGTTTATCAAGACATTTTGCAGGAAAACGTACGACCATCTGTCCGCCAACTGAAGCTCCGCAGAGGATGGGTGATGCAACAGGACAATGACCCAAAGCATACAAGTAATTCAACAAAACAATGGCTGCAACAGCACAGAATACGCCTTCTGGAGTGGCCCAGTCAGAGTCCTGACCTCAACCCGATTGAAATGCTGTGGCATGACCTTAAGAGAGCGATTCACACCAGACATCCCAAGAATATTGCTACACTGAAACAGTTTTGTGAAGAGGAGTGGTCCAAAATTACTCCAGATCGTTGTGCAGGTCTGATCTGCAACTACAGGAAACGTTTGGTTGAGGTTATTGCTGCCAAAGGAGGGTCAACCAGTTATTAAGTCCAAAGGTTCACATACTTTTTCCTCCCTGCACTGTGAATGTTTACATGTTATGTGCAATTAAACCATGGCAACAGCTAATGTTTGTGTAGTATTATGTTCAGCAGACTGTGTTCTTCTATTGTTGTGACTTAAAAGACGTTCAGAGCACATTTTATGCCCAATTCATGCAAAACTCCACGTAATCCCAAGGGGTTCACATACTTTTTCTTGCAACTGTATTTTTATTTCTAAAATAGACTCTGCCTGATCCAAGATGGCCGACAATCACATAGGGCGCCAGCATCAATTCAGATAGCTGTCTTCTTGTGACCAAGGAAACCATAGAAAAACTAGGTTCCTCTTGACCTCCTCCCTCCTCCTGCATTGCTGCTGTAGACAACTGCCACCTGTAGTGGAGAAAATAGACTGCACCTGCCTACATGCAGAATGACCACATGTGTGCAGAAAGACCGCCATGCCCCATCGCAAACAGACCTAGCCCCCTTGTTCTGTGTCATTGTGAAGAATAGCTTCTCTAAAAGTTCAAATTTCTACTCAACTATGACCATTCTCTATTAGGAGCTCATAAAAATGTCTAGGCAAAGTTAGGGTCCAGGTTATACACAGATAGAATGAAGAGAAGTATCTCTGAAAGCCTAGAACATACGATTGAGAGAGTATTTCTTCCACTTACATGACTTGCTATGAGACTATCTTACCATTTTTGTTTGTCATTCAGCATCAAAGTTCATGGAAAAGTACAATTTTGTTCCAATGGTTGTGAGGCTATTGTTGATTCTGGAACCTCCCTCATTACTGGGCCTAGTGTTGACATAAAGACATTGCAGAAACTAATCGGAGGTACACCCCTGTCATTTGGGGAGGTAATATGTTTTTCACTTTCCTTTGATATTTATTGTACCGCTATGATGTCCTGCACCCACTACAATAGGGGTGCTCAACCTGTGGCCCTCTGAGCCCATGATGTGACCCTCGGCTTCAAAGCAGGGAAGCGCACTTCTATTATGTTGCACTTTCTGAAGTCGCACCAACACTCCTGAATGCAGGATTTTTTGCATGCTTTTAGAAAGTGCACCACACCCTCAAGATATGTTAGAAGTCTAGGGCAAAGCGCAGCTAACCAGCGGGAAAGCCACAGTTGCACTGCGCTGCACCCGCGGTGTGGGTGAACTGCAGCGCATCAGTGTGAAAGCAGTCTTATAGAGGGCTCAGGACATTAAGGGCTCATTTACATTTGCGATTTTGGGGCAGTAAAACCACATAGTTGAGACATGTTATTACCCCCCAACCACTGGTGTAGCGTCAGGAGTTGCAATGGTGACCCCCTCCCCATGCTCTAGGGGGCCTGTGTGGCTTCCCTGTCACAATCTGTTATACACTTGGACAGGAGGGGCAGCGGGGATAGACATATACAGGAACCAATCCTCTCCATTTTCCTTCTGGAACTGCTGAAAGCCAGCTTCTGCTCCCCTTCCTCCCACCAGCATTCAGTGGCTGTAGGTGTAGAATGTTCATTATGCTGCTTAAAATAAAACGTTCAAAATTTAGAACCATTTCAGTTCATTGTGGCCTGCGACTGGTTACCAAATCACTTAAAGTGTTACTAAACCCACAACCGTAAAATCAGTGTGTATATGCAGTAAAGCATGCTTGTTATACTCACTGTGGAACCTAGGGGATTAATTCTCTGCATTGTGTAAAAATGCTGTTTGATCCTGACTTCTCTGATCCTCCCCTTCTCCCAGTGCCCCCCTCTCCTGATAAGACTTATCATGTGGAGACACTCTGCACATGCTCAGTTTGGTGTGTATTGCTAAAGAGTTTTTTTTTCTTGGGAGAGTGCATGTGATCAGCACAGGGCCAATCAGCACTGTCCAGACAGAGGTCAGGGGTTCTGCATCCTCTTAGAGCAGAAAGAAAACTCCTCCTACAAGCTTTAACAAGTGCTTTGCTGAACATTGATAGAAGTCAGAGGACTGCTATATACTGCTGATGAGAAAAAGTATTTAGCAGGTTATATTTACTAAAATAATTGCACTTCCATGCTCTGTGTACTGCGGGAGACCAGATATAGTGAATACAGGGTCCTGGGTTTAGTAACACTTTAAGTGGCCCTCGCTCTTCAAAAGGTTGAGCACCCCTGCACTACAGCATCATAGGAAAAGGAAGCATAGTTTCCTAGTGCAAGAGCACTTAGATTTATTTATTTCAGGTACTTATATAGCACTGTCAATTTACGCAGCGCTTTACATATATATTTTACATTCACATCAGTCCCTAACCCTCAAGGGGTGTACAATCTAAGGTCCCTAACTTACATTCATACATACACATACAAGGGCCAATTTAGACAGGATCCAATTCACCTACCAGCATGTCTTTGGAGTGTAGGAGGAAACCCACGCAGGCACAGAGAGAACATGCAAACTCCAGGCAGGTGGTGCCATGGTGGGGATTCGAACCAATGACCCTAGTACTGCCAGGGGAAGTGCTAACCATTTAGCCACTGTGCTGCCCCTGCATTAGATATTGCTTGTACTGGCTGCTACAAAAAATGACAGGCATGAACGTTGCATTATTTGAACTAGTCTATATTGGGGCCACTGTGCAGAAGCCCCAGTTTCAGTCATTGTCACAAGGTACAGCATGTTCATTCCCCCACACTGTAATAAGGCACTGTCTTTGGGGCCTGCAGCCCAGCAGGTATGTTCCTGAGGTCATTAGTCATTTCTACAACATATGTTAGAATTTATTCCATTTTTGATCTTGAGATAAAGGTATTATTCTAATTTCCATGTTACAGTATGCAGTAGGATGCAAGAATGTATCTAGTCTCCCAAGTGTGACCTTCACCATAGGACTCAGAGACTATACAATAACCCCGGAGCAGTATGTGCTTAAGGTAAGCAGATATATGCATGTTATGTAGTCTTTGCTGTGAGTGTAGATAATATGCACTGCTTAGGAAGTTCAGAACACACTAACATGTCATTTATCATAGGAGCTGTCAGGAAAGACTGAAATGTGCCTGGCTGGGTTTCAACCCATGGATTTCTCTACTACAACTGGAAGTCTCTGGATCCTGGGAGATATTTTTATGTCCAAGTTTTACAGTGTGTTTGACCGTGAGAATGACAGAGTTGGACTGGCAAAATCCCGTAAAAAGAGACACACACATCTGGACACACAAAAATCGGTATCAAGCATCTTTTGAATGTGCCATCTACATGTCCTCTGCATCTTCTCCAGTCGGAAATAATACATTTTACATTTCTGTATTCCTTGAATAACACCGCTCATGAAGAGGAAAATCTTACTGTAAATATACATTCTTCTCATTAATCGGTGATTGAGTAATTGTTTATCTCATTGTATTCCGCTGTAATGATTTCCTATTTCACATGAGAATTGTATAATATGTACACATGATAAATGTCTGACTGCTTTACAATTACAAAGGCATTTTGTGATATATACACATTTAGGCCCCTTCACACCCTATACATTTTAGGTGCGGTGCACTAAAAAAAGGCCCGCATGCTGCATCTAGGCGATTGGAAACAGAATGGGGTTTATTTACTAAAGCTGGAGAGTCCAAAATCAAACTCCCTTCTGCATAGAAACCAATCAGCTTCTAACCTCAGCTTGTTCAATGAAGCTTTGGCAATGAAACCTGGAAGCTGATTGGTTTCTATGCAGAAGGGAGTCTGATTTTGGACTCTCCAGCTTTAGTAAATAAACCCCAATGTGTCCTCCCTCCCTGTAGTCTTTTGGGACACGTTACAGGTCCCAGAAGACTACAGGACCATTCAGGAAGAGCAGCGCTACTCGCACATGCACAGTGGGTACCCGGCTGTGAAGCTGCAAGCTATCACAGCCGGGTGACCACACTGAAGATGCCAGCCTCCTGGAATACAGGACGGCCGGTGAAAGGGGCTGCGGGGGACACCGCGGGACCGAGGGACAGGTAAGTGGCTATTTTTTAAAAGTCAGCAGCTCCAGTTTTTGTAGCTGCTGACTTTTATTTTTTGACAGGGTGAGTGGAACTCCGCTTTAACGTTTTTTAATGCCAGTACTGATCTTAGTAGAATCATGGAAGTTGAGGTGGCTTACAGTCCAGAGCATTTTGTCAATGTGCGCAACATTATGTGTTTTTGCACATGATCCTGTGTATTGTGTTTGTGGTGCCATTCATTGTTAATGGCATTTAAAAGGCGGCAAGAAGACACACTTATTTGCGCACAGAAAAACAGGTTAACAATGTACAAAAAGCAACAATGAAAAAGATACACTGGCCAGCATGTGGCAAAAAAAGCATACACAAATGCACAAGCACTGCACGATTTTGCACAAATACTTAAAATGCCTAGGTGTAAATGTAACCTTAGGAAGATTTATTTTGACAGCCTGCTATGACATAATCTTTGCCTTTCCAAAGCCAATGTTTTACTGTTTCTGTGTATAACCATGAACAAAATTGTATGGTACAACAATATTGTATATGCAAAATTTCATTTAGCTTCTTTGGAGATTTTGTTTTAGTCCATATACTAGTCATGGAAATAGTTTCAGGCATAACATTAGATCTTCATTCAAATTAGGTCTACAAATAAAGGTGGTATACTTAAAAAAAAAAAAAAACACAATAATTGTCATTTCAATCATTTATTTAACAAAAATAGCAATTAATGTAATGGTGTACTATTAAAAAAGTAAATAAACCCTTGGCCCCGAAAGCTGGTATTGCACCCTTTAGCAGAAATTACCTAGTAAAGTATTTTGCATAACAGCCTACCTTTTTTTTTACCACTCCTCCATGCAAAATTCCAGTTGCACAATGTTTGTAATTGTAATGTTTCTTTGCATGAACTGCTTCTTTCAAACACCACCACAACATTTCAATGGGATTCAAATCAGGGCTAATCTAGTCCATAACCCTCTATTACTTCTTTTTGAGCCAATCTTTTGAGGATTCCCTGCTGGGCAATCCAGAGGGCTGGGACCTGGCATTAGCATGTAGAGAAACCCATCTCCCCTATCAGGACCTCTGGTGAAGACCAGCCAGTGCCTAGACCCCGTGCCTCAGGTGAGCTTGCATTATCTGCTAGGGGAATCTGCTTGTATATTTCCAGCTGATTACTCTTGAAAGCTCTCTACTGCTATAGCCACTGGAGATCTCAGACCGTGACAGAATAATCAGTTCCAATGCATGGAGGCCATTGTAGTAGCTGCTGAAACTCCTCTCATGCAGCAAATCACTGAGTTGCAAGTGTTTGGTGTGAACTACAAGGAAAAAAAAATTCAGAATTGAAACATTGAGATGAAAGAGCTACCAAAGGACATCCTTGATCATTGGAAAATTGACAGACTTGTGTTTCCGAGATACTCCTGCTGTAAATACTAATGCACGTATGCCTCTACCACTTAGATTCAAAGGAGACAACTGCTATTACAGAGGTTTCCCTAATCAATGCCGTACATGCTTTTAGATGCAACCTGCTGCATTTACTTCCAAGAGGAAAAATGTGCTGAAATCTAAAATATATTGAATAACTCAAGCACTGACTATGGTGAAAAAAACAAAAATACAATATATTGCTGTAGCCACTAGTGCACACAACCATGTCTCAGTGGGGCAAATATACAATCAAAAAGTGCAAGATGCTGCGCTACATAAACCAATGGTAAAACCATTATATTACCAAAACACAAAGTGAAAAAATAAATAAATAATTATTAGAAGAAAAATAGTAGTAGAAAAAAATATTAGTAGAAAAAAATATTAAAAGTCCATATGGGACCAAAAGTGCAGTTAGACCGTAACATTGTATAATGTGAGATCACACTGTGTGAGGTGAGCAGATATATGGTGGAGGATGTCTTTGCATGGGAATTGATGACAGATGCACATATTTTCGTTATCCACAGGAGGGTTCACTGAATTAACACTTTATTGGTATTGTTGATTTTTGCTTGACTTTCATTTGATTTATACTTAAAATATTTTACATTTTTATATTTTTATTTTATTTTTTTGTGTGGTTAAAATATATATATATATATATATATAAATAAAAAAAAAAATATATATATATATATATATATATATATATATATATATATATTTCTATTTCAATATTAATATTTTTTCTACTACTATTTTTCTTCTAATATTTATTTATTTATTTTTTCACTTTGTTTTTTGGTAATATAATGGTTTGTACCATTGTTTTATGTAGCGCAGCATATTTTAATTTCATTTTTTGATAGGAAAAACATGCTGCTTAGTATCAACCTCCTGACAGGAGCAAGACAAGGCTATCGTGGATAATTTCAGTTCTGTTGTGACTGCTATGGATTAAGGTTTCGATGATCCTAACTGGCGCACTACTGCTGAGGCAAAGTTGCACAACTTATGACAGGGGTAGACATTGTTGCGGAGTACACAACTGAATTCTGTTGTATTTTGGATTCCACTTGAAATCCTGCAGCAAAAAAAGGTTAGTTCTGTCAAGGGTTCTCTGAACAAGTAAAAGACAAGCTTTCCAGAGGCCTTTATTAAATTATGCATTTGAATTAATCAGAGACTTATGGGAAGGAGAGACTTTTATAGGAAGTAATGGAGGCATGTGTTTTTCTACTAGTCAATGTTCAGAAGAATTTCAACACTTCTGAATCTATGCAGGCAAATGCTATTAAAAGATCTATTTTTATTCAGTAGAAAAATAGATAACATGCAGAAAACGTATGTTTCTATTGTGGAGACAATGGACATCATGCAGTTAATTGTCCCAATAAATTTAAAATAATAATTGCGGCAACTGACGTTACAATATCTCAACAAATAAACTATTTCTCAGACACTCAGCCTCCCCTACTGGGGTGGCCCTACTCTTTGCTGAGAGGAAGGACAGCACCCTGTGCCCATGTATCACTTACAGGGATTTGAACAAGATCACTATAAAAATTACTATCCACTCCCCGATTCCAGAAATGCTGGAAAAATGCCACTCTGCTAAAGTTTTTACCAAATGAGAAATTTCTCCAAAGTAATTGCTCCAATTATGCATCTGATGAGAATAAGGGTGCCATTTTTGTGATCACCAGAGGCACAGGCTGACTTTAGTAAACTAAAGACTGTTTTTACTTCTGTACCAATACTGGTACATCTGGATCTTGAACTACCTTTCACTGTAGAAGCTGATGCTTTGGATTCTGCTTTGGGAGCTATCCTTTCTCAGTGAACTGAAGAAAAGATGCAACTTCATCCTTCTGCTTATCTCGATTAATGGCTTCAGCTGAGACAAATTATGACATTGGGAATAAGGATTTGCTGGCAATTAGGAAGAATTTTCCGAGTGGAGGAATCTGCTGGAAGGGGCTAAGCGTCCTGTAACTCTCTTCACTGATCATAAAATTTTAGACTTTATCCACTCTGCCAAATATTGCCTAGACAAGCACGTTGGTCCCTATTATACTCCAGGTTCAGTTTTGTTATTTGGATTGCTCTGAGACACAAAATGGTATGGCTGATGCCTTGTTGTGGATGTTGTCTAGGACTCTCCAGAAAAGCAACTTTGAATGTACGATCATGCATTAAAATAACTTTCTAGGAGCCACAAGTTCTAAGACGTTTTTTGATCTTCCCAGTGAGGTTTATATTGATGACCTGCTTCTTCATCATTCTCCTAAAAACATTAACCTCAAAAATAAAAGGACATTTGGACTTAAAGGCATCGTCTTATTTCACCTGATTACTCTTGAGTCTCTACTGTTACAGCCACTAGAGCCAAGCCTGATTCCAGACCGTGACAGCACAAGGACTCAGAGCAAGGAACTTTAACTTTATTTATATCTCCTTCTAAGCAACATTATGCCAGCTGTCAGGATAATGTATGTGCGCATAAGCAAGCACATATTTGCAAGGCATAAAAGCCTAACTGCACGTGCACATATATGTGGGGCACAGAAACCTAACTGCACGTGCATCATTGCAGGCCATGGCAGCCTAACTGCAAGTGTATCATTGTGAACACATACGAGCATGCACAGACATCCAGGCAAGTCTGCTACTGCCAAGTGAAACCTGAACTCTGCACAAGATCCTTGCTGAATGGCTTTCAGTCTTGCTCCTGTGCTCCTGATTCTGACACTCATTCTGATCCTGTTATTTACCCAATTTCCACCTGAACTACTTTCTGCTCGTTCGCTGTT